CACAGAAAAGCATCATTTGCTAGTTAAGCCATGTTGTACCGTATGTACAGCGGTGTGTTTGTAAGTTTTCCGTGTGTCCAGTGAGGTCTGTGGTCAGACCCTTGAGTTGCACCACTGTGCTAAGTCACCCGCTTGACCAGTGTTTGACAGCTGATTACTCAGCCCTGAGCGTACGAGCCCTCTTGTACAGAAAGCTTTTATGCTCGTCGCTCGTGTTGTTCTGCAGAATCGTACCTGCTACGATTCCCATCGAGATTTGTTTCACTTCACCTCCAGACCGTCAGAGTGCAGTTATATGTAGAGAAACAAGTCTGGGGACGCTTAGGCTAACCTCTGCTATAACTCCAACTGTCGAGAGATAATACTCGTCAAGCCGCAGCCAGCCCTGTCGGCAGGCGCTGTCAGCCTCGTGTCACAAGCTTCAGTGAGCAGCCTGCACAAAGAAGATGTCACTTTGACTGCTAGCTCTCTCACTGCAGTCTGGTGTATGATGTTACGACTCCCAGATGTTTCGCCCAGTCGTCTCTGCCACGACTCGCTCCACAACTTGCTCCGTGCTCGCCGGCAGTGACAGCCCAGCGACAGTACCAGTCGAGAAGTGTCCTCCTGAGTCGCTTGCCAGAAGTCCTGCCCAGTTGCCGAGTTTTGTCGACGCCTCACTCGAGGGCACCAGCATGTTGTGCCCCAGGTTGAGTGAAAACCTGCAGCGACTCCTACGATGTCTGCTTCACCATTCCAGAGGAGACTGTAACCTGTTACATCACAGCTCAGCTGCAGCGATGTCTCCTGTGTTGCAGTATATGTCCAGACGCAGGAAGGCGTGCAGTGATGCCCTTCGACGCTCACTGCCTTTGACCATGATGTTTAGCACACCCCACATGTTTTTTTTCTTCCCTCCCTGTAGGAAGTTTTTTTTTCCATGTCCATATGTATATATATGTTTTTATTTTGTGTTCTGTGCCCTGTTCCTACGAGAGAGAGACCGAGTTTCCTTTACTACCTGTATTGTCGCGTCGGGACGACGCGCGGTAGGTGGCCGAGCGTATGTAGACAGCCTGTACTGTCTGCACAGACAGCCCATGCTGTCTGCCAGCTTAGTTCATATTTCGTGCCACTCAGGTGCTGCCATCTATAGGCCTTGCCACTTCAGTATGCCCAGACTTGCCTCACCCTCACTCACACAGCGGCCTGGCATCAACACACAAGTACTCCCAGCTCTCTCTCGTGGGCATGGCCCTGCCTGGGCCATGGGCACAAACACACAAGCCTGTGTAACCCAACACTAGTTATCAATAAAGTAAGAAGCCTCCGAAGAAGTATATCATTTAACCACCCGCTACCAGAATACCAAAATAACTCCGTTATAAATATAATGCAGAGAATTCGTAGTTTGGAAGTTAGGAGGAGGTGCGGGATTGCCAAAACTGTTGTCCAGAGGGCTGAAGAAGGGTTGTTGAGGTGGTTCAGACATGTAGAGAGAATGGAGCAAAACAGAATGACTTCAAGAGTGTATCAGTCTGTAGTGGAAGGAAGGCGGGGTAGGGGACGGCCTAGGAAAGGTTGGAGGGAGGGGGTAAAGGAGGTTTTGTGTGCAAGGGGCTTGGACTTCCAGCGGGCATGCGTGAGCGTGTTTGATAGGAGTGAATGAAGACAAATGGTTTTTAATACTTGACGTGCTGTTGGAGTGTGAGCAAAGTAACATTTATGAAGGGATTCAGGGAAACCGGCAGGCCGGACTTGAGTCCTGGAGATGGGAAGTACAGTGCCTGCATTCTGAAGGAGGGGTGTTAATGTTGCAGTTTTAAAAACTGTAGTGTAAAGCACCCTTCTGGCAAGACAGTGATGGAGTGAATGATGGTGAAAGTTTTTCTTTTTCAGGCCACCCTGTCTTGGTGGGAATCGGCCAGTGTGTTAATAATAAAAAAAAAAATTGCGATCATATATGCCTCGTCACTCAGAAATTTGACTTCCCCTCATCGCATAATCTTTCATATACTGCTTTGATTTTGTCACATTTCTAGTAAGTGCAAAGAAGTATTTTGTTTGTTTGGGGAAGACTCAGCCGCTCAGCCAGCAATTCAGGACCTCTGTTTCTCATAGGGCGGATTCATTACGCTGGCTGTTTTTCAGTGCTTTCTCGCCACCTCCGCAACTGCTGGCAACAATGTTAGTGTTCATTGGACCACATCAAATTTTCTCTCACAGCATGTTTAGGATTCTGGCCATGTTTCTACAACTGTCAAACTTGTGTGCCTGCACTCTTGTGCTTACATGCTGGACACATGCTATTCACTCATGGACACCACATGGAGAAACAACCGGCACCACCCTGCAAGAATTGTCAGGTCACACTGTTTATTCATCATATTTCAGTAGATAGTCCTGCCAACCAGAGTGCACACAGAACCCACTTTCGATATCTAACCTTACCCCCCCCCATCCCCAACACAATCACTAACCTCACCTTAAGTCCCTTCTTGGACACATACTGTGGAAAATATTGTATATTTTTCGGAAATACGGTAATTTATAGGTAAATAGATGCCCTATATTGTATTTTTAAAAGAAGTATGTTATCGAAAATGGGAAACTGGACCTGTGCCTGCGCAGACAGGACAGTCGCCATTTTGGTTTTTGAATTGGATACAACGTTGGTGTAATGGGAAGAATTTTTCGTGCTCTAGAGGTTAAAATTAGGCTGACACCTCTCAAACTCTGTAATCTGTAAATACCTTTGTAACTTGTCATGATTGTGACTAGACCTACCTGGAGTTCATTACCTTTGTAAATTGTGAGTTCATTACCTTTGTAAATTGTGAATTCATTACTTGCTCAGCTATCAAAATTTTGAGGCCCAGTCCCTGGACCCATTATGTACCTCTGTAATCTTTTGACTACTGCCCACAGGATGGGTATGGGGTGCATAATAAACATATTAAACTATAAAACACCTTTCAAATAGGAGACAAAACTGTTGGATGTGCATTCCTGCATAACTTGAGGTATCAGGCGACTGGACAAGACAGCTCCAGGAACCTCAGATAAGTCTTATGTAGTAACCTGGCCAGTGTTATTTTCATAGGCAGTGAGGTTTTCTGAATATGATACACATTAATCTCCAGTCAAATTGGTGAGTGTTATGATTAAGATATATTCTCCTTCTGTTATATAAATGTATATATACTATAATCCTTTTTTAATTTTAATATACAGTCCACAAATTTATATATTTAACAGCATTCCTGGTGATGTATATTTCATTTAATTAATAGGTCCAGAGCAACTTGTGGATATGACAGTGGTAGTATCGAAGGGGGACATTTTTTGCGACCTAGGTGTCCCAAATTCCTACTTGTCTAACTGATAAATAATAATTATCTGTGTTCATTTACTGTTATGTATATAATGATACATTCAGATAAATGCAATTTTCCACAAATACTCTTCTCTGATTTTTTTTAACAAAAACTAACCTATTTCACTAACCGATTTTAATATTACACTTACACTAATCCCCACCTCTGCTAGCCTGGGTAATGAGAAGCAATCAGATTGGATCCAAGAAGAGAAGAGGAAACTCCAGTTCCTTGGTTCAAGAGTCCTTTACCTAGGGCAGTTGGATGTTTACAACTCTTCAAAGTAACATTTTTTACTTAATGCCTGAATATGAGTATTATAATTCACATTGTTTTAGACTCTATGATTGTTATTTTTCTATATTATTCTCCTCCTTCTTTTAGTTTATTTTCAACAATGCAGTTACCATCTGCCATAACATATAGGATTTCTAGGCTCCTTGCAAAAGGATGGACAATCAACCGCTGAGACTGGTGTTGATGTTGATTTTTGGGTTAGCAAGGAAGGTAAGTAGTATTGATAGGTCAAGCAGGTATGGGGAAAGGGGATGGGGATTTAGGGCTGGGAAAGTGAGGAAATTACTTAAAGGGCTTAACTTTTAGGGGTCATATAGGGCCTGGGGAATGAGACATTCAAGTTCGATCCAAGGAAGGGGAGGTTAAGTCCAGTTCCTTGTCTCAAGAGCTCCTTCACAAGCGTCAAGGAAAATAAAATGAAGCTGAAGCAGAGCATTAAGTTAAACTGTTTCTCATGAAGCATTGAACACGTGGGTCTTAATTTTTTTAATCAGGGGAAAACTTTAATCCTTTGGGTTCAGGGGGTCGTATAGTACCTGGGAAATGGGAGGCAATCAGGTTCGATCCAAGTGAAAAAACGTCCAATTCCTTGGATCAAGATCCCCGCACTAGCACCAAAGCATTTCACTTCAGGGGATGTGCATCTTCAGGACAGAGCAGTGAACCTCAATCCTCCATCCCCTAACTGACCAAAGGTTTCCCTCTAGCCAAGTCTCATTCCTCCTCACCCTCTTTTGACCTCAGGCCTTTGGGATTATGGAAACAGTATGAAGTTGGTCCTCCATGTCCATAATTTTCCCATATCACTGTGTTTACCCATGATGTCCCAGTCCTAGATTTCATAACTCATTGCTTTATATCAATTTTCCTATATCTAGTTTCCTTTCAGTTTTTCCTACAATGATTATGGATCTGTTTATCACTTTCACCTTGGTACATTACACTAATACCTGTGAATGTGACTTATGGCTCAATGACAGTGCTGGGTTCACAGATGAAGGTGACTGGATTTCTTTCCCAGATGGGCAGAGCCTGATGTCCGTTCATCTAGCAGCATGTAGATACTTGGACGTTAGTTGACCATGTTGGGTCACATCCTAGGGGGTAGTAATACACTTATTTAATAGGGCTGGGATTTTTAATTATCCATGATAGAATACCAGCTCTTAGCCTGTAAATTCAACTGTGTAGAAAAGAGATTTGCTTTAAGATTACATTATATACTACCTTCTCCATGCAGAGTAGTAAAACACTGAAAAGTGCTACTCTAGTAAGTACTCTCATGAACTCCTGAAAAGTTGCTTTATTTTACAGTATCAGGATTAGAGAAATGAAAGCCACTTTTTGCCTTCTAATTTTTACACCTCTTTATTTGCATCTATAAAATGATTGATAACAAAAATCATTTCCTTTGTACATGGCGCTATACAGACATTATGAGAACAGCTTTTCCCTACATATCTTCAGAATCATGAATTTTTTCATCACCTCTATTTTTATAGTGTCTTCAAAACATTCTTGTGGGCCTTGGGTGAACACTTTTAGCCTATGATTTAGCCTGTAGAGACAGTTTATGCCATTCTGGCCTTTCAAACCAAAATTTTATAACTTCTGGTAATTAAGGAGGATGAATTCATAAATTGGTTAAAAGTTTCAGAGAAATGCACTACATTTTGTTGTATAAAATGTAAATTGGCATCATTCCCTCCAAAAGCCAACATGGAACACCAGCCTAAAAGCCAAAAGCCTAAACTGTTTTTGCCCAATTCAAACTTACTCCACTCTAACTTAATACACCTATTATAAATAGTAAAAATGCATGATAAATTGATAAATAACTTTGACACAAAAGAAGATAAAGTTTTAAAACATATGAAACACCTCAAATAAATCAGATATTTAGTCTATTGTAATGAACAAGCAATCAAACTAAAGGAATCAGGCTATAACTATATTTACACACTGACAGTCTGACAGCTGGTCCTCTGAGAAACAACCGAGTGTGAAGATGGCAGGTTAAGAGAATCTATAATAGTATGGACTAGAGCTTAACTGTATGGTCAGCTTGTTGAATACATAATGAAAAAGATAAGACTAGACAATACATATAAAAGAAGAAAGATGTTGGAAAATTTTGAGATAACTATAAAATAAAAAATAATGACTATAAATGTCAAACAACTACAAGATATATAGTGTAAACAATTAGTAACAATAACAGAACAGTTGTCCTTTGTAAACCAAGCTGAAATATTCCAGGTGCTTCATTTCCAGGTCTTGCAGGGCGGTGACATGTAACAAAATATTAAATAGCAAAAATTACAATGGAGTTGAGCGAACTCCCTCCAGTAAAGTATCACATATGTAACTCAGTACCTCTCATTCACCACTGAAGAGAGAGAAGCATATCACTCTCAACAACACTCAGACTATTAAAGTATCAAAACTAATAGTGGAAGAGTCAAGAGGGTCATTGTATGTCTGTATTTAATTAAATGTCACGTATTGAGTAAATGTGTACTGCTTGTAAAATTAAATTTTAGTAATTGTATTAAAAAACTGAATGAAATGAATATCTGTGAAAAGAATTAATAATATGCATTTTGCTTGCAAAGTAAAAAAAATGTTTTAGTTTGTGCCTGGGGTAGATATTTAGTCATTGGTATATGGAATGTCAACTGCAAAATATTAAAAATATCAAATGCTGTCAGTAGTGCAGTCAAAAGTAAGAAACAGATAGTCTTACTAATCTATGATGCAAAAGTGCATTCATTTCAGGTGTTTGCATAATGCCCAACAAATATAATTATGAAAAATAACACAATTTCACCAGTAACTGTCCACTATTTGTAACTATGAAACCGGGATTTAAGATGAGAAAATCTGAAATGCTCCGAGTAAATGAAACAGGCATTTTTGCCTTATCTTCTACTCAATCCATACATTGTCAACCCAAACAATTAACCACATTTTAACAGATGATAATATACCAATCTTCATGAATTATAATTCATGTAAAACATGGCTCTATTGCTTTTCTACACTCAACAGAGCTTAATTTAGTTATATTAACATAACATATACATTAATCTCGAGAAGTGACCAAGCACTAAATACAACAAAGTTAATTCTGTTTCTCCACTCGTATAGTCAGCAAGTCACACCTAAAAATCACACTAGTACCTAGCAGCTCTGGTCACATACACGCTACAGTCGTGTAAGTACTTGTCAGCTCTCCTCCAATCAGGACTATTACAGCCATGATGACAGTGCACATCCCCCAATGTTTTATGCTATAATTTAATACTCCTGAGTTGAGACGACTGGAAGATATTCACTGTCTGGAAGGCATGACTTTCTGGTGGATCATTTTACACCTTAAAGGGATACACACTTTTTTTTTTTACCGCACATCAAAAATCTTAGGTATGTTTTGACTGGAAAATATACAGTTTTCTAACTGCTTGAACAACCAACATTGACAGACAAAGATGAATGTTTCATGGTTGTCAGTGAAGGAAAATATTGTCAAAGCTAAGGTAAAAATGATAGACGCACATCTGCACACCAGATCCAAACTGGTCATCTAGCACATGTACATGGTACATATCACATGAGCACATGATCAGTTTAAACAATCAACACATACAAATCCTTCTCAAATTTAGTGACCACATGTGCCTACACAGACCTGCTGATAAACATACTATTCAAATAATACTAGGACCTTCAGAAAAATATGTGGATAGCCCACCAACAAGAATAGACAAAGTGTGCACACGTAACTCATCAGCCCTAACAACCAGTACACCTGTATCATGCCAAGTCCTTGTAACCAACACACGCACAAACTTAGGAGACTTGGAAGAGTCAACATCTCACCACAGCCTGTAGAGGCAACAAGGGTGAAGTTAGGATGGGTTATGCAGTGATGTCCCTTCCAGGGGAGCCTTGATGTTAGTGAGGAGCTTCTGATCCAATGAATTGGAGCTACTCTCCCCTTCTTCAGATCAAATCTGACTTCCTCCCAATCCACAGGCACTGTATGACCCTTAAGAGTTTGATGCTTCCCCATAATAATAATATTAATAAAAATAAAAAATAATATTGATAATAGTATGTAGTGATGACATTTGGGTTTGACAGAAACTTGATTAGAGGGCAACTCTGGATGGTGAACTTGAGACTGGGCAGGAACATAATAGGAACTATCCCTCCCCCTCCAATATGAGTGTCAAAATTATCAATCAAAATTCAGGCAGTGACCACCATTAGGGAAGGAGGGGGGCAGTGGACCCACAAACTTTAGTTTGCTTCAAAAGCAACTTCTTATTCTATAGTTCTGCAGAAGTCATTTAAAATATATTTATCACTGTTTCATGTGCCATTTTAAACTGTGACACAGCTGATGTGCCTTAAATGAAGGACTTGCAGTCCTCACATGATCACTTGACTGACTTCTTCCTCTGGAAGACAGCAGAAATATCAGACATTAAACCAGGGCATTCTTGTGGGATCTCGAATACTAAGGACAAGATAATATGGTTTGGCTAAGAATGAATCCATCTTTAACAGAGAAATAGATATTAGTGGAGGTATTCAGTAGAATAAGGAGAGGAATAGACCTCCTTAGCATCAAGAAAAAAGTATGGAGTAAGAGAAACTAGAGGGGAAGTGGGGGGTGATGACCTGACATTGAGGTTATGTACATAGTGTTTTGAGGGGTGGGGGCAATGATGATACAATAAGCCCTTAAAAGTCTAACATCATGGATCCACAGAAAATATAATCCTCAGCTACACAATCACAACGTCAGAGTAAAGAACACGCAGGGGAGCAGTCAGACAAAGTGAGGGACCACGCGACCTATGCTACAACAGTAAAAATGCACCATGGATATGTCCTGCTCCGCGTCGTCCAACCGTCCCACCAACACCAATGTTTGGTTGAGGTATCTTAAGATTTACATACTTCATTTTATATGCAGGAACTTTCATTTCATATCAGGCAAGATTGTTTAAGTAGATATTACTAGAATAATACACTAGTACTCATAGATAAAATAAGCCACATAGACAGTATTCCAATGATAATACAGAAATCAGTTATTTATCTACACACTACACATAAAAACACTTTCCCGTTTTACCCCATTCTTCTTACTAGCTATTGCCAAGGTTCTCACTTGCCTTCCGTGGCTTGGACCCCACTAGCACAAACACCAAGCGCTTTCTCTGGCTCCTAATGTTCAAATATAACTGATGTTTTCCAACTAGGAAAATACTAAAGTATTAAGCACTGAGACATCAGTTGTAGGTATTAATAGTCCTGGTAGGAGACAAGTGTGAGAGTGAGGAGCCTTAGCACTGGCTGTAATCTATAGTTCTGTGTAAGAGACAACTCAAGAGGGACGAACAGACTATGCATTTCTTGTGTTACAATGGCAAATTTTAAATGTCTTCCACTATTCACTTTAGTACAGTTTCTCTATTAAAACCACCACTAGATTATTAGTTTTGTCCCATTTTTGTTGTATAAATATCACACAATCAGTTACAGACTCAAGGTGTCCACCTGTGTCCCCTGAGCAAGTCTTCTCACCACTGATATGATGGTGCCTGTTACTTGCAGCCATGACTGTGTGCAACTATAAACCAGGCAAGTCCGGTAGCCATGCTGCCACCAGCACATACCAAATACTAACAACACTGACATAGGATCTCCTTTAGGAGCTGAAGATAGCAACAATGGCTGGTAATGCCAACTTGATATTACCAATAAGGTAGTGGTTGATACTGTTGCCTCTCGACACTATAATTGATATGCCCCATACAGCCGCCATTTACCGCCAAGAAAAAGTTTGGACATTGCACAAAAGGAGCGGTGAGGGCAGTCAGGGGAGGGCTGGCACTAGGGTGTCCCTGCCAGGCAGACTGTGACCCACAGCCCAGCAGCCCTAAGCACTGACGCCCAGCAGACTGCTACTCAGATTTTGTCGAGGCAGATTCAGGAGGTGAAGCTGGAGGATAATTGTGAGTGACCAAAGAAAGCGGTGATGGAAGAGGGCCTCCGGGAGAAAGAGGAGGCGCCCCCAAACTGGTGAGTGTCAGGGCAGAGGAGATGGGCGGCCCAGAAAACATGTTGGTGCTGCTTAAACTCAAAGGTGGACTGATCATTCCACTCGCTGGAGGGTTTATTCGTTTTTCCTTCTGGCGTCTGTGAAAGAAAAGTCTTTTAGTAATTGTCCATTTTTCCCATATTTAAATCACTTTTTCAAATAATGTATCAAAATATTTTCAATATTATTATATGAAATAATAAACTTCAATCTATATCTAGTAAAAGGTTGAAGGCTTGATAGTGTTAAGAATCTACTGAAAGATTACGTAAAAGAACTGAGCTAAAATGCTCTAAGTTAGAATAACTAAGAAAACACAACTTACCACTATCATGACCCTTACCTTGCAACTGCAAACCAGAAAAAGAATACGTACTTACCTGTTACAGAACCAGACCCTGACTACCTCTTTTTCCATTGAGAGGTTATCTGCAAGCATAGAGATTTCCTCTGAGGTGGGCTTAGGGTTCTGGATGAAGGCTCGCTCAAGAGCCACACGTACACTAGTTTCAATAGAGGTGCGCTTCTTTCGTCGACGGCCAACTGCGTCAGGTGATGAAAGGGAGTTGCTGACAGTTGTTGGATCAGAAATAGTCTTGTCAGCATCGGTTAGCCACTTCTGAAGCAGTGGTTTCAGTTTACACATATTCTTGAAGGAGAGGTTTAGGGCTTCAAAACGACTAATGGTAGTCTGAGAAAAGTCATTGCCGTATAACTTGCCCATGGCCAGTCCTACATCACCCTGGGTAAAGCCTAGTTTGATGCGTCGTTGTTTAAAGGTCTTAGCAAATTGCTCCAATTCCTCCAAATCTGTTGCTCCTCTGGAAGTGGTTCCCAATGACGAGGAGGTGGAGGCGGTGAATGAGGCATAGGAGGGCGTGCCATGTGACCATGTGGTGGCAAGTGAGGTGCCAGTGGTGAGCTGGAGATGTGTGAAGGTTCAAGGGGTGGAGGCCGCAGTGGAGGTTCACGGATATCTCGCATAGGTACTTCCCTCAGGTCTCTAATATCTCTCAGATCACGAATATCTCTTAAGTCTCTAATATCCCTTGGGGGTTGATGGTGCTGATGCTGATGCTGGTGCTGCTGTTGCTGCTGCTGATGCTGTTGATGTTGTTGGTGAGCCTTCTGTAGCTGTTGTAATTGCTGAGCAGCTTGTGCTACAGCATGCTGTACATTACGAACCTGTGATGCTTGTGAGGGTGCCTGCGACACTGGTGGCTGTAATCCCTGCATGCTTGCAAGCCCCGGAGAGGCTAAGAGGCCTTGCTGCAGCAAATTTTGCAAGTACTGCAACTGCTGCAATGTATAAAGGTTTATTATTAAAACTACGCAATGACTGTTTAGTATTTTTATGGTTTCCTAACAAAACCATGTCATAAAATTTAAATACAATACACAACAACAGACTCCACAGTAAACCATCAATTAACATGCGATCATTTATCATGTTTTCTTTGTTACACTAGTGAAAATTGTGGCATATTTTTGGCTAACACTTCGTAAAATTTGACTATTACTGTGCCACTTCTGGGTAAAAAATTTAGAGAGCTGTGAGCTGGACTGCAGGATTTTTTCCCCTTCATCTAGTGGGCTTGTGAGCAACCTGCCTGTGGGTCAAGCCATTGTCTTTGCAGGAAAGGCCCAGTTTTCTCCCCTGCTTACCCCGTCCCACCTCTCATGTTTCAGTGCTCCACAGATACGTGTCCCATACAATTCAAAGATCTGTGTTTTGTGAATCAGGTTTTGATGTTTTCATTACCATATCTTGTAACGACAAAGTAACCATGGCACCCAAGAGGCATGTAAGTGATACTGGAAGTGGCAAGAAAAAATTTAAGCATTTAAGTCTTGGTGTTATGAAGAAAATCAAAATATTAAACATGTTTAAAAGTGGTGCACATGTGGTGGAGATGGCAAGAGCTTATGGCCTTAATGAAGCATCAGTTCATACAGTTAAAAAGAATGAGGCAAATATATGGGCTTATGCAATGAATAACCCAGGTTGTCACCTCCTGAAAAGAATGACATAGACCACAACAGGTAAATAAAACAGAAAACTTATTGATTTAGTGCTTCAGCTAATCACAGTAGCAAGTAATTTCCTTGCTGAATTGCAGGAAATTATTTATGAGGGTGGCAACATCAAGGCATCAGGTGATTTTAAGTGTAAGCCCAGGGTTATTTACTACTACAAGAATCTTTGTGCTTTAAAAAGTGTAGATAAAACCACCATACCAGTAATTTGGTTGTCAAGCCAGTCAGCAAGGATGACAGAGGAATTTTTATTTATTTATTTATTTATTTATTTATTTATTAACAATTTGAGCACACATACAGAGGTACAAAAAAATACAGATAAGAGCAGCATGCCAAAGCCACTTATACTATGCATAGCATTACGGGCTGGCTTAAAATTAACTTAAGATTAACTAAGCAATGATGAAATCAGTGATAAAACATTAATGTAAACAGATTACTATAAAGCACAAGTGAGTATTACAAAGACAGGTCATATGGTTGCATGCATTGTTGTACATTCAGTAGAATGGAGTATTCTGTTAGGTAGTGTATTTAAAAAATAATAAAGTTAGATTGGGTTTTAGGTTTAACATTTCTTTCTTTCTTTCAACACATCAGCCGTATCCCACCGAGGCGGGGTGGCCCAAAAGGAAAAACAAAAGTTTCTCCTTTTACATTTAGTAATATATACAGGAGAAGGGGTTACTAGCCCCTTGCTCCCGGCATTTTAGTTGCCTCTTACAACACGCATGGCGTACGGAGGAAGAATTCTGTTCCACTTCCCCATGGAGAAGGTTTAACATTTATGTGATATAATTGTGAGAAACATTTAAGATATACAATTTATAAGGTTCAGTTATTCAGTATTTATTTGGATTTGAGTGAGTAAGTGATCTTTGAGAAGAGACTTGAATTTAAACAGGTAGTGTTTCTTTTATATTTACAGGTAATGAATTCCAGATTTTAGGGCCTTTTATGTGCATTGAGTTTTTGCATAGTGTGAGATGGACACGAGGAACATCAAAGAGTGATCTGTGTCTTGTGTTATGGTCATGTGTTCTGTTGAGGTTGGCAAGGAGATGTTTGAGGGGAGGGTTAATATCAGAGTTAAGTGTTCTATGTATGTAATAGGTGCAGTAATAAGTATGGATGTTTTGTATGGTGAGTAGGTTTAGTGTACTGAATATTGGTGGAGTGTGCTGCCTGTAGTGAAAATTTGTTATCATTCTAACTGCAGCCTTTTGTTGGGTAATTAGTGGTCTGAGATGGTTACTTGTTGTTGAGCCCCATGCACAAATTCCATGGGTGAGATAGGGGTAAATAAGAGAGTGATATAGGGCAGGAGGGCTGACTGTGGAGCATAGTACCGTATCTTCGATAGTATGCCTACAGTCTTGGAAATTTTCTTAGAAATTTGTTGTATATGTGTATGAAATTTGAGTCTATTATCAAGGTGGATTCCTAAGAATTTTCCCTCTGTTAGCTTTGTGATAGGTGATCCGTTTATCATTATGTTAAGAGGGACATCTGTAGCTCTGTTACCAAACTGAATGAAGTGGGTTTTGTCAATGTTTAGTGTAAGTTTGTAGTCCTCATCCAGGTAGATAAATTTTTTGTAATTCGGTATTTACAGTATTGGCTAGCGTGACTGGGCTCGGGTGGGAGAAGACGTATGTAGTGTCATCTGCAAATAGTGTGGGTTTGAGTAATTGCGAAGCATTTGGTAGGTCATTTATGTATAGGAGAAAGAGAAGAGGGCCAAGGACACTTCCCTGTGGGACACCAACTGTAATTTGGGTTTAAGCATCACTTTATTCCTGAAGTTATGTTTTACATGCACAGCAAGAGCCTTGCAATCAAGGTTCTCTTCACTCTTGATAATTCCTGTACTCATCTAGAAGCTTTGCTGGATGTGAACCTACATGAAAAAGTTGTATTTTTATCTCCAAATACAACATCTTGAATACAAACAATGGATCATGGACTTATTTAGTCATTCATGTGTAACTACACATGAAAAGTGATGAAAATATTAGTTGCATTAATGGACTCTGACTCCAACCTGGCAATACCAAACTTTTGGAATAAATTTAACATTGCAGATGTCATCAGCAATGCTAGAAGTGCATGGATTGAAATGCCCCAATCAACAGTAAATGCAGGCTGGGGAAAGTTATAGCCTTGTGTAGTTAATTCTTTCATTGGTTTTTCCCTCGCTTGAGAGCCAGGTGCTGGAAATAGTTCAGCTGGCAAGGAGATCACCAGGTGATGTCTTTGAAGATGTGAAGATGATGTGAATGAGCTCTTAGAAGCTGATGATGAAGACATAAGTCTAGAGGAAATGTTGACAGAGCTCAAGGCACAGACAGTAGAGAGGCAGATAACAAAAGATCCTGAAGAAAAACAGTAAACACTGCAACAGTTATGTGAGCAGTTCCATATTATTGGTAAAGTTGCAGACTTTTTCCACTGAAGAGAACCCTGACAAATCTGGAAGCACTGCTCTGAAACGGGGTCTAGAGCAGCTGATGATGCCTTACCGTCAGCTGTATAAAGTACTGCAGGGTAAAAAGAGACCAGAGATGCATTACAGACTTTAACCAGTCTCCATCCACCTCAGCCCAGTAGGGCCACAGCATCCCTCTCAACTCTTCACAATCATCGACAAACACCAGCAAAACAATTTAAGGTAAGAAATATTATTTCTGTAACATCTGTAATCTTAAGCAACGCAGTAAACATAATGCATTGAATCGAGAACAATTACAATACCTTTTATTTTTTAAGATTTGGAGACCTAAAGTAACTGAAATTTCTGGGGGTTGAAGGAACATAACCCTATTTTACCCATAAGTTCTTTAGTTTGTTTTACAAGATTTTATCTTACACCAAGTTTTTCAGGACTGTAACTACCATGTTAATCGACGGTCTACTGTATATTAAATTCTAAATAATATAAAGTCCAGTTAATAAGACTAATACACTTATTTACCTGACTCTGAAGAAAGAGTTGTGCCTGAGGTGGCAACTGTGATGCAGCACTAGGCTGTGAGAACAGCATGAACTGCTGAAGTTGCTGTTGAATCTGCTGCTGCTGCTGTGAGAGTGTCTGCTGGAGTGCCTGCAATAAATTCAAATAAGAAGAATACTAATGCATACCAAATAGCTATGTATTCACATACTGTTATAAAGCCATAACATGCTATCAGTATGCTATTTCATTAAAAAATACTGTATTTTGCAGCTTATTAGATGCATTTTTTCCATAAGCTGTAGCTCTCCCAGTTACGTCTGATGCGGAGCCATTAAAACTAAAATAAGTCTTATAAGCTGTGAAATATGGCATGTTTCACATGCATCAGTGACTCACCTGCAACTCCTGAGGGTTGAGTGAGCCCAGGCTTGGTAATGGTGATGACACAGGGAGCTGGTTGGCCGCAGCTGCTGCTGCTGCTAACTGATTCTGCATCAGCAAGCCAGGCCCCTGGGCTCCTAGAGCCATTAACTGCACAACAAGTATTCAGATTTAAATATTTAATTAGATAAACTGATAAAAGAAAAACTAAATACATACTATACTTGCTATACTGATTATTATACTGGCATGAAATGTTAAGTATGTGGGACATTCAACTGGTAGAGGCTTGATCCTCCGTCTGTTAATCGCAAGCAAATTTGCTACCAAGTTCAGTCATCTGTTTGGTAAAAAAATATGACAAAAAATTATACTAAAATATTTTCAAACTACAGTGGACCCCCGGTTAACGATATTTTTTCACTCCAGAAGTATGTTCAGGTGCCAGTACTGACCGAATTTGTCCCCATAAGAAATATTGTGAAGTAGATTAGTCCATTTCAGACCCCCAAACATACACGTACAAACGCACTTACATAAATACACTTACATAATTGGTCACATTCGGAGGTAATCGTTATGCGGGGGTCCACTGTACAGTATTTGTCACACAGTTATATCAGCATGAACCCTGCTACAACACTTCACAACCACCAGGGCTGTGAAGTGCAATAAAACTTAGATACATAAAGGCTATAGATTTGTGTTCATCTGATGGTGTTTAACTAAAAGTTTATTAATAAGAAAATGCAGTTGTGCATTCAGTATTTTCTGATGTAACTAGTGTTTTCTTTCGTGGCATGTGGGGGATCAAACCTAGGGCAAGGAATTATGCTCTACTAACCATGCTACCACAATCCATAAAACAAGTTACAGCTGTTAGGCTATTAGCAAATAAACAAAATTACCTCTTTTGGTTTCCATAACGTGTAATTTGTTAATTGTTCAAGACCGATATGTCATAAGCATCAGTCTCCTAGGTGCAAGTTATTTGTGAATGGAGGATAAAATTTCTGAAGCCTCTCTATAGGCAGAAATTTTATTATTTTATTTTCTATCTTTCCTGTTATATATACTGACCATAATTTATAGGATATTCTTTCATGAGTAACATTTGTCAAATACTTGGCAGAATCTGAGCAGAAAATCGTCCTTTTGAATTTCTTAAAATGCCTTTTTATTTTTCGAAGTGGTCAGGTACTGGCTTTGATAAGCATGATCTTTCTGCTGTAAAACCATTATGTCCTAGATTTTGGAGTTTATCACCTCAGTATGCATAGTCAGCCATGCAGAACCCCTCTGGTTCATCAAGTTACGTAGTACAAGACCAACTGGTTAAGAGGAACAAAGTCAAATGTTCTTGAGAGGTCATTACAATCCCCATAAATCAACTCTGTATTTAAGGCTCCTCCTTCATGTTCTCATAGCAGAAACTTCACAAAATCCTGATAGACAAGCACTTGCATTTTATGCTAAATCAACTTTTAGTAACACATGAAAAAAAAAATGTAAAGAACTCGGCGATCACCGAGTATCATACGAAATAATTCCGAAAATAAATTCTTTATAGTCAATTCATTAGAGAGAATAAATGACTTGACCAAAAAAAAAAAAAAAAAAAAAATGGGTTCAGACAAAGCTGAGAAGCTGACCTAACTGAACGACAAAGCTGAAGGAGAATAAATATTAATAACTAACCTGGTTGAGGGAGAGGGAGCCAGCTTGAATGGCAGCGAGGGCGGCCTGCACGGAATGGGCGGCAGCAGGGGCGGTGGTGGGCGAGGCGGCGCTGGTGATGGGTGTGTGTGTGACCGTGGGCGTGGGAGAGGGTGATGGGAGGGCGGCCGAGGTGTGTGGGGGCATCATGGGCGGAGGTGAGGGCGTGGGCGAGCGACCTCCATTGCTGGAGCGGCTGGTCAGGTCACGAGCCTGCTGGGTTATGTTACTTGTTACTCACATTGTATAACACACTAGGCTGATGAACACTGTTATTCACACTATAACACACTAGGATGATGAACACTGACACATTGCATAACATTCTTACTACACACTTATCCTGAGAACCAGCACAAAGCCTATAAAGGTCACGCTCCCAGGAACATTAATTGATATATTAATATATATTTATGCTTTTAAATTCGCACTTTCCAAGACTCACACTTACACTCCCTTACACTCTCGCACTTCCTTACACTCTCGCACTTCCTTACACTCTCGCACTTCCTTACACTCTCGCACTTCCTTACACTCTCGCACTTCCTTACACTCTCGCACTCCCTTACACTCTCGCACTCCCTTACACTCTCGCACTTCCTTACACTCTCGCACTTCCTTACACTCTCGCACTTCCTTACACTCTCGCACTTCCTTACACTCTCGCACTCCTTACACTCTCGCACTCCTTACACTCTCGCACATTCCTTACACTCTCGGCACTCCTTATCACTCTCGCACTTCCTTACACTCATCACGTTCCTTACACCTCACACTCTTCCTTACACCATCATCACACTTCCTTACCTCCCAACATAATTTTCTTACATCACTCGTCAATCTTCACAACCCTCGTCACGCTTCACACCTCGTCACGTCTTACACCCTCGTCACGCTTCACACCCTCGTCACGCTTCACACCCTCGTCACGCTTCACACCCTCGTCACGCTTCACACCCTCGTCACGCTTCACACTCCCTCACTCTCGCTTCACACTCCTCGTCACGCTTCACATCCTCGTCACGCTTCACACTCCTCGTCACGCTTCACATCCTCGTCACCCTTCACACCTCCGTCACCCTTCACACTCTCGCACTTCACACTGTCACTCTTCCACCCTCGTCACCCTTCACACTCGTCACGCTTACGCACTGTTTCACACCTTCACACCCTCGATCACCCTTCACACCTCGTCACTCTTCACACCCTCGTCACCCTTTACACCCTCGTCACTCTTCACACCCTCGTAACCCTTCACACTGGTCACCCTTCACACCTCGTCACCCTTCACACCCTCGTAACTCTTCACACCCTCGTAACCCTTCACACTGGTCACCCTCACATCCTCGTCACCCTTCACACCCTCGTCACCCTTCACACCTCGTAACTCTTCACACCCTCTTTACCCTTCACACTCTCGTTACGCTTCACAATGGTCACCCTTCACACCCTCGTCACTCTTCACACCCTCGTCACCCTTCACACCCTCGTCACTCTTACACCCTCGTCACTCTTCACACCCTCGTACCCTTCACACTGGTCACCCTTCACACCATCTTCACCCTTCACACTCTCGTCACGCTTCACACTGGTCACCCTTCACACTCTCGTTACGCTTCACAATGGTCACCCTTCACACCCTCGTCACTCTTCACACCCTCGTCACCCTTCACACCCTCGTCACTCTTCACACCCTCGTCACCCTTCACACTGGTCACCCTTCACACCATCTTCACCCTTCACACTCTCGTCACGCTTCACACTGGTCACACTTCACACCCTCGTCACTCTTCACACCTTCGTCACCCTTCACACCCTCGTCACTCTTCACACCCTCGTCACTCTTCACACCCTCGTCACCCTTCACACCCTCTTCACCCTTCACACTCTCGTCACGCTTCACACTCTCGTCACGCTTCACACTGGTCACCCTTCACACTCTCGTCACGCTTCACACTGGTCACTCTTCACACCCTCTTCACCCTTCACACTGGTTTCCTTCACACCCTCTTCACCCTTCACGCTCTTGTCACGCTTCACACTGGTCACCCTTCACACCCTCGTCACTCTTCACACCTTCGTCACCCTTGTCACTCTTCACACCCTCGTCACTCTTCACACCCTCGTCACCCTTCACACCCTCTTCACCCTTCACACTCTCGTCACGCTTCACACTCTCGTCACGCTTCACACTGGTCACCCTTCACACTCGTCACGCTTCACACTGGTCACCCTTCACACTCTCGTCACGCTTCACACTCGTCACGCTTCACACTGGTCACCCTTCACACACCTCGTCACTCTTCACACCCTCGTCACCTTCACCACCGTCACTCTTCAACCTCGTCACTCTTCACACCCTCGTCACCCTTCACACTGGTCACCCTTCACACCCTCTTCACCCTTCACACTCTCGTCACCCTTCACATTGGTCACCCTTCACATCCTTCACACCCTCGTCACTCTTCACACCCTCTTCACCCTTCACACTGGTCACCCTTCACACCCTCTTCACCCTTCACACTCTCGTCACGCTTCACACTGGTCACCTTTCACACCCTCGTCACCCTTCACACCCTCATCACACTTCCTTGCACCCCTCACACTTTCTAACCTAACATTTGCAAACATTTTAAAACGTTCTAACATTCTAGCACTAACACTTGCCAACATTAACGCCTTCTAACACAAGCCCATTTTAACATGCTAACATTAATACTATCTACTGTCAAATATTCGAACATTGTAGTCATATTTAACCTTGTTTCTAATATTCTAGAGCATTCTCTAGCACTTTATGACATTTTAACATTACCAAATATTCTAACACTTTCTAACATAGTGTTCTAACATTCTAAAACTTTCTAGCCTAACAAGTTCTACCTACTATCATTCTAAGATGTTCTAGCATTCTAAATGTTTCTAGCCAAACATTCTCCAACATTCTAGCATTTCATAACACTAAACATTCTAATGCTTTCTAAGACTTTGAACACTTTCTTAAATTGCCTAACATTGCAACTTTCTAACATTAACACACCACACCTGCTACATATATGTAGTGAACACTTAGATGAACATTTAGTTCACTTTAAGGATCATGAACATTTTGTTCACTTGAGAAAACATGAATATTTTGTTCACTTGTAAGATAATGAACATCGTGTTTACTTGTGAGAACATGAACTGCTGTTCACTTTTATGAACACGAACATTTTGTTCACCTGTAAGGTAGAACAAGAGGAACTTGTGTTAACCAGTAACAATGAACACCTATCTGCTCAGCCTCAGTTCATCACCATACTATCATTATCCTCACCCCTCATCACTATAATCATCCTTTCACTATCCTCACCTTCATCACTATAATGACCATCCTATCACTATCCTCGCCCTTATTACTATAATCATCACCATTCTATCACTTTCCTCACCCTCATCACTATAATGACCATCCTATCATTATCCTCACCCTCATTACTATAATCACTATCAAATCACAATCAACATCATAATCATTACGACTATCAAAATCATCACAATCACCAATCACCACCATCATCACTGTCACCATTATTACTATTACCATCACTAACAATACCATCACCGTTATCACCATTATCAGGATTATCACCATTATCGCCAACAATATCACCAATGTTACCACTATCACTATCACAATCACCACCAGTAACACTTTCACCATCACTATTATCTCCATCATTACCATTAACCCTATCACCATCATTATCATCGCCATTCTTAGTATCAGAGGCATCACTATCACTGTTATCTCTATCATCTCTACATTCATCACTATCACCAATCAGCATTATTACCACCACCATCATTACTTAGCAATATCACCATTATTACCACTATCATTATCATTACTTATCACCATCACTATCAATCATTATCATCGCCATCACTATCCCTATCATCACCATCACTATCATAATCATCGCCACCATCATTATTATCGCCATCACTGTCATTATCATCGCCATCATTATCACCATCACTATCATTAACATCGGTATCGCCATCACTCATCACCATCACTATCATTTAACATCACTGTCATTACTATCATTATCATGTGCATCACTGTTATCTTCAATGTCATTACCATCGTCATCGCTATAATTATCATCACTATCCCTATCATCATCGCCACTGTATCATTATCATCACCGTTAATATCGACATCACTATCATTACCGTTAATATCGATATCACTACCATCACCGTCACTATCACAACCATCTTCACTATCGTAGCCATTCCTATCACTATAATCAACACTATCATCACCGTCACTATTATAGCCATCACTATCATAGTTATCACTCGCTATCACCATCACTAATATAGCCATCAACTCTATCACTATCAGTGTCATCACCATCACTATGATCACAATCACCATTATCGTTATCACCATCTTACTACCATCACTGTCAAAAATATACTCATTCCCCTACGACCACCGTTATATCTAATCTCATACAAGGTGTTTCAAATATATGGTCCCAATTTCTAAGCAGAATGTTTTGAAATTGGGTCCAAAATTTAAAACGCCTGTATAATTCTCTCTCTCTCTCTCTCTCTCTCTCTCTCTCTCTCCTCTCTCCTCTCTCTCTCTCTCTCTCTCTCTCTCTCTCTCTCTCTCTCTCTCTCTACCACATTACCAAAGATATTTAAATAATTCCCGTAATAAAAGCAATAATAATGTAGCTAATGATAATTTGATTTTTAAATTACGAACATTATTTACATTCATTATTTTAAGTAATTATTTACGTATACCTGTCATTATAAACTGCTGATGAGCAATTGTTTTTAATAAATATTAATGTGTTAGTAATGTATTTTAGACACCCGTGAGATTATCATCTTCTGGGACACTAAAAGACAGGACCCCTTACTCACCTCACCAATCCCTGCATTATCTCGTCTATTGTTAATGGGGCTCACCAATTGAGTGAGGCACACCTCATCCCCGACAATTCTTCCATACAAGTTTCCTCCTAACCCAGGGGATTGAGTGAAGGAGGGAAGGAACTGGGGGAATAATGTGCCAATCTCCACTCAAGAGCATTAAGGTCTGGTACTCGGATAGGCTGGCGTAGTTGAGGCAACCCTTCTTGCTAGCTGACGCTTGTGACTGCTGGCGCGTTTCTCTACAATGTCCTTTATATAATTTGGTTGTAATTAGTGCTAGGTG